GGTCTTAGCCTCATCAGTAAAAACATCCCTGTTCAGAGTTGTATCCCATTCACCTTTTAACATGAGTGTCCCCAAAGAAAAGATTATCCAAATTCACTTGACAAACCTACAGCACAGAAAAAGCTACAAAAATTCACAAAATCCAATTGCTATCAAAGTTTGGAGTGCATTTTAGGCCACTGTAACTAGCAAAAGAAAAAAAAATTTATTGTGGGGTACAGTGGCTCATGCCTATAATCCCAGCACTTTGGGAGGTGGAGGCAGGTGGATCACCTGAAGTTGGGAGTTCAAGACTAGCCTGACCAACATGAAGAAACCCCATCTGTACTTAAAATACAAAATTAGCAAGGCATGGTGGTGCATGCCTGTAATCCCAGCTACTCAGGAGGCTGAGGCAGGAGAATCACTTGAACCTGGGAGGTGGAGGTTGCAGTGAGCCGAGACCGCGCCATTGCATCCCAACCTGGGCAAGAAGAGCGAAACTCTGTCTCAAAAAAAAAGTTTAATAATTTTACTTTTTGAAATGGAGTCTTATTCTGTCACCCAGGCTGGAGTGCAGTGGTGCGATCTCAGCTCACTGCAACCTCCACCTCCCGGGTTCAAGCAATTCTCCTGCCTCAGCCTCCTGAGTGGCTGGGATTACAGGCATGCACCACCACACCCAGCTAATTTTTGTATTTTTTTTTTTTTTTTTTGAGACGGAGTTTCGCTCTTGTTACCCAGGCTGGAGTGCAATGGCGCGATCTCGGCTCACCGCAACCTCCGCCTCCCGGGTTCAGGCAATTCTCCTGCCCCAGCCTCCTGAGTCGCTGGGATTACAGGCACGCGCCACCATGCCCAGCTAATTTTTTGTATTTTTAGTAGAGACGGGGTTTCACCATGTTGACCAGGATGGTCTCGATCTCTTGACCTCGTGATCCACCCACCTCGGCCTCCCAAAGTGCTGGGATTACAGGCTTGAGCCACCGCGCCCGGCCTAATTTTTGTATTTTTAGTAGAAAGGAGGTTTCGCCATGTTGGCCAGGCTGGTCTCCATCTCCTGACCTCGTGATCTGCCCACCTCAGCCTCCCAAAGTGCTGAGATTACAGGCGTAAGCCACTGCGTTCAGCCAAAAAAAAACATTTAGAGTGCTATTCTCAAAAACCATCTCTGTTACCTAGCTACCCATCTCTTAAGAAAGTGGTATTTAGTTGTCACTCTGTCCTGGTTAGTCCTCAGCTCATCTGACTTTCCACTTTTTCAAAACAAATAATTCAGTGGAAACAAGACAGTAGGTAGAACTAAATTTATTAAACAATTAAATTCTTTCAACACTCTCTGGGTAAAATGTTTCCTTAAAGATATTTTATGCAACCAAGATATTGTGAACCTATGTTTTAACCATTTCTTACTGCATCTTCACCCATAGTAGTACCCAACACTTACATAAGACTATTCATTTTTTAGACAGGGTCTAATTTTTTAGACAGGGTCTCACTATATTGCTTTTTTAGACAGGGTCTCACTATATTGCCCAGGCTAGCCTCTAACTCCTGGGCTCAAGCAAGGCTCCTGCCTCAGCCTCCCAAGTAGCAGGGACGACAGACAAAGTAAGTTTGAATTAACTTCATCCTAGGTAAATTGTGTGCATATCGGGCACTTGATTTCTCAAGGCCTTTGTAAAGAAGGGAAATATATTGAAGAGCTGTTTTAAAAATTGGGGGCTAGGCACTATGGCTCATGCCTGTAATCCCAAAACAAAAACAACAAGGCCAAGTCAGGCAGCAGGAGTTCAAGAACAGCCTGGGCAACATTGTGAAACCCCATATCTACAAAAAATACAAAAATAGTCCCAGGTATTTGGGAGGCTAAGGCAGGAAGATCACCTGAGCCCAGGAGGTCAAGGCTACAGTAAGATATGTTCATGCCACTGCACTCCAGCCTGGGTGACAAAGCAACACCCTGTCTCAAAAAAATAAAAAATAGTAAAAACTGGGGATCAGCCACCTGATGCCTACAAACCCAGCTACTCAGGTGGCTGGGGCAGCAAACTGCCTGAGCCCAGGAGTTGGAGACCAGCCTAGGCAACATAGTGTGACCCCCCCCCGCCCCTCACCCCATCTCTAAAAAAAATTTTTTTAAACTGAGATCACAGGACAGATTACAAATTTGGGGGAAAATACACATCTTTTTTTTTTTTTTTTTTTTTTTTTTT